CATAAGAATACGTCTAAAGTGCATGCAGGTAGCACAGTAGTTCTTTGTATGACTCCTCCCAGTTTCCATATACCTTTTCAATCGCCTTGGTCTTTGCTAACCACACCTTTCTATATGACAAAGCATAATTGTATACTGTAGTGAAGTGAGAGATTATGGTTTTCACCTTCAATGACGGATCATTGCTGACGAGAGGTAAGATTTCTTGATATATTAGATCATAATTTAGTTTAAGATGATCTTGTGATTGAGTAGAATTGACGCACGTGTGGGTGGACATATAACCTATCACTCAACAATCACCTCTCAACATGTATGATGCAGTGAGCTTGAACATACAATATGGGTGAACACACCTGAGCTTGTACCTTTCTGGATTTACCCGATCTACCTTAAAATCGACAAAATTTAACATGTGAAACTTTTTATAGCTCGCATACAATCTTCTCTATTACGAAATTTGTCTTTCTCTTTTAAATTTTCATCTGACTGCATATACGGGTTAAAAAACATCCGATGACGGTTCATCTTCGCCCATGTTGAAGTTTGTCATGTGTGAAAATGGTGTGTAGATTTCATTCAGACGTATTTCAGGTAGCCCATCGTATTCAGAATCATCGTTTACCATGTCGTCAAACTCTAACTCTTCATATTCCTCTTCTTCTTCAGCAACATCTACTTCTGCTTGTTCGTCTTCAAGAGGATCAGCCACTTGTGACTGAGTTGGTCGTGACAGCTGAGGCTCCCGCAGCATAATGTACAACTCAATCGAGTCATACCCAGAATAATCATGACTGGAAAACATATTTTAAAGGTCAACGTCATCTTGAACCTCTATCTTATAAAATATTATTTGGTTCTCACAAAAAAAAGGATTTTGATAGAAGATGTGTGTCACTGGACCTTGTCCAAGTTTGAACTCTAATTATTTTTTGAAATACAAGAAATTGACTTTTCTGTTTAAACAAAATCAGATATTCTCAGTGTCTCTAAATAAAAACCTAGAGGTGGGACAAATGTACGTCTCACCGTTGAAATGTGCACTGATAACATATTATGGTGTAGAGGACATTGTGTTTGAATGTTTGAATGTTTGAATGTTTGAAGGTTTGAGTGTTTGAATGTTTGAGTGTTGATAACATTAAATACATGTAGGATAAATAGGTTTCATTAAACTTGAACAAGACAAAAATACTCCACCACTAACTCGCTAATTGAGATGACGACACCTTTCAATTTTGCACTCATGCGCCAAGTCAAATGGTGCATCCATACATGTCCTATCACCTTACATGCATGCGCAAAAGCCTGCCCATGTGTTGTCACTTACTCTACACGTAGGCATGTCCCACGCCAAGTTGAATGGCACATGCTCTCTAAAATGCATGTAGGCACCATTTGGCTTGGCACCAACATGACACGTATCATGCATGCATGCAACCACCAACCACCTTATTAATTCACTCTTATACGATTTCGCCTATAAATATGGTGCCTGAGAAACTTGTTTTACATCACCAATCATCTTACTCTCTGATATAAACTCTTTCATTGTCTTATACAATCTCAAATACGGCTCTTCTCACAGTGGGAGATTCTCACAGAGGCACAAGAAACAACATTGTGGTGTTTGTAAGTTTCTATAAATTCTTAAATATTCTTGTATATTAACATATTTTTTTTATAAAATCATTATTCAATTAGTCATCTTATGGACTCTTACACTATTTACATTTTGAATTTAGGATACTAAAAGATTTAGAATTTGCTCACACAACTACATTACTCCCGATCCGTTGATTGTGCCCTATCTCGAATACGCGAGTTTTGGAAATGTTATAAAAATATCAAATTGCACGATTGATTCCAAGTCTATACTTGTAATGTTGGAAAGGTGGAGACTCGAGATACACACATTTCATCTACCGATAGGTGAATGTACCGTCACACTAGATGACGTGTACATGTTATTGGGTCTCCCTATCGATGGTAAGGCAATTAATGGATCGGTTCAACAACCCAATTCTCTATGCGAGGAATTGTTGGGCAAAGATATGGTAGAAGGCAGTGGTGTTAGAGGCAAATGTATATTACTAACTGAACTCAAAAAACATTATGCGACTCTTGAGTTGAATGAAAATTCGTCCGAGCTAGCAAGAATAATAAAAGCTAGAAATCATATGATGATACTATTTCGAAGCTAGTTATTTCCCGAAAGTACAGGGAATATTGTAAATTTTATGTATTTAAGTTTGCTTAGGAACTTTGAAAAAATAAGAAAGTATAGTTGAGGTTCTACTGTTTTAACCCATCTATACAGTTCTTTATGTAAAAACGCAATAAAGGACAAATGTACTTTTTGTGGATGCGCTTTCTTACTCTAAGCTTGGGGTTGGTGGAGAATGGAGTCCCTAAACCCCGTCAACAACAATGCATTCATTTTCCCATACGCAACAAAGTAAGTCAAGAACTTAGATAATTTATTATTCATCCTTTCGTCAAATAAATGTATAAAATTAACTATTTTTCAATTCCTTTAGATACTACGTAATGGGTATGGGTTACGCAAGAATCCAAGATTCGATGTCGCTCTATATCGTAATCTATTGGATCATCTTTGCCCGGATGATGTACGTGGCTCCTTTGAACTTTTCTACTTTTAAATTATTTATTTTTTACGTTTTCATTATTCTGATTTAATTTTATCCACAGTTTATCTAGAAACCATATTTGGGTTTGGACCATGAACCAAACCCTGAGAATGCAGTAGTTTGGACTGCAAAGGCTGCAATCATACGGTTCAACATTGTGGAGATACACCACAACGACCATGTCAAGATGTAGTTCAGAATGTATCAAGAGATATCATACGATCCAACTTGTTTGTCACCATGGCATCTCAAAAGGGTCGACGCCCAATGAGGTATTACTAGTTGGAAAGATTTTGCTCCATAATGGTGTAAGATGTGGCATAGGCGTCACCAACATGTCTTGCAATTCCCTGTTTTCCTCAACCAAAATAATATGCGACACACGAATCAATATTTTGATTGGCACAGATTAGTTAGTAACCCAGAAATGCACGTGTCTCATCCGATGTATTTGGTCGACCCAAGAACACAATGGACACAAACCTCAAATCTCCAACAACAAATCCAACGCGCATCAACTTTCCACCAAACACCACGACGATACAGATCCACAAACACCCAACCACAATCACCACCTTAATACCAATACACCCATATGCCCCACACCCAACCACAATCACCACCTCAATACAAATACACCCATATGCCTCGCACCCAACCCCAATCCCAATCGCAATTCCAATATACCCACATGCCCCACACACAATTTCAGTCTTCTCCACATCCCGATGTGAGCCCCTCATCATCTCACCTTAGCCCAGATCTAGGCTTTCCTGAAGAATATGACCTAACTGACCCAACTTACCATCAACCACCACATCACCATAACACCCAACAATCGCAATACCAAACATCCCAAGATTCATTTCCTTTTTACCCCCTTACTCAGACGACCAGTGCTATGGGCCATCCATGGAACCCCATCCCCACTAAGACGACCAAACTTTGAGGACATGGGTAACCGACTGTACCAAAGAAGATCTTCCAGATCTGGTGATCTGACTGATTTCATAGATCCTGAACGCATTGACTTCGTCGGGTCATCGACCCATTCACAATAGGAAAATCGATGAAACCCACCACAAGATAAGCGAGGATGCGGATGCGGAACCACGGGTCATTACCGAGTTCCGGGGGACAACTAATAATATACATTGTTTTTTTTTTCATTATGTAATCGTTCATTTGTTAATAAAAATCGAAGTTTCATGAAGTTATATTGTTTACTTATTGTCTCGTATTTAAAATAGAAAGCAAAAAAAATATTGTCTCTTAAATATACTTAGGCGCCATTTGAGATGGCTTAGAGCAAATATGTTACACCTAGACGTCATCTTACTTGACGCCTACTTCTAAAACTAAAGTACACACGCAATTTCACTTGACGCCTCCGTTGTAGTGTTTTCTAAAATATAATTATTTACGTAATTATTTCTGAAACATAATTATTTGTGTATTCTTTTTTAATACTTGATTATTGCTATAAAAAATTCATTAAATAATAATATTACACAAACATTTAATATATTTCAAATATGTAATTATATTATTTTCCAAAATACATAAACAAATATTCAAACAATCAAATATAATTAAACGTCCATATAAAATCACATACCTTAAATTTTTTTTACAATAAAATGTTTTGAATTAAAATAAATTTGGTAATATAATAATTATATTATATTATATTATATTAAAAATAATATTCATACATCTAATATAAAACTATTTTACATAATCAATCAATAAAAAATCAATAATGTTTAAAATTATTAAAAAAATTAAAATAAAATGATCTATATATATATATATATATATATATATATATATATATATATATATATATATATATATATATATATATATATATATATATATATATATATATATATATATATATATATATATATATATATATATATATATATATATATATATATATATATATATATATTGATCGATTGATTGAAGGCGTAAAACTATTCTATACATAATTCTTTTTTTCTATCATATTTAGTCCAAAAAAAGAGAAGTAATTATAATGATTTGAAAAGAACAGAAAGGTGGGTTGCTTATAGCGAGACACCTGTTTGATCACATGCGAAATCTTATTACCGTTATTCTCTTTTTTTCCATGACAGCGAGGAAAACCAGAAAAAGAAAAAACATAATAAAATAACTATTTTTTCTCAATCGCAACGATCCAACGGCCACAATTCACTAGCCGTTGATTTTTCAAAACAGAATCTGAGGTGTAAATAGCCCCCAATTCTTTCACTCTCTTCACTCAACTATTGCCACCTTCTTCATTTTCATGCTCTTCTTCTAGGATCCAAAAATCGAAAAATGAAGGATTCTGAGAAATGTTCCAACTCAAACGGTATTGAATCCGCTGTTTTTCAAGGTATTTGGGGATGGTTTGGGGTTCAATTTTGATTCAGAATTCAAAGATTTTTGAATTTTTTGATGAGTTTTTGTTTATTGAAGGGTTAGAAGCTAGAAAAGTTGGGCAAAATAGAAGAGCTTTGGGTGTGATTAATCAGAATATGATACCTAACAAGAGGGCTGTATCAGAGTAAATTCCTCTTCAGATCATATGATAAAGAGTTTGTGATATGAATTTGTTTTCTTTTTTGTATTTTATTTTGATTTATTGTTTTTTTTTTTGTGATTATACAGAAGAAATGAAGTTTGTGAAAAGAAACAAGTGGATCCGGTTCATCGACCCATCACTCGGTGAGGATTTATTGTTTTATGTTTATTTACGGATGTATGATGTATGCATGGATTATTAATACTGAAAATAATGAGTGATTGTGTTGTTTTAGGAGGTTTGCGGCTAAAATTGCTAGCACACAGAAACTTAAGGCTGAGGTAGAGTTTTTATTCTGTTGTTGAAATTTTGCTGCATTGTGGAGATTGTTATATTTTGAATAAGATTTTGAGAATTGGGGTTAATTTGAATAGGGGACTAACAAAAGGTCGAACTTGACGAATTCGAATGGATTTGGAGATTGTATATTTGTTGATGATGAACATAAGCTGGTGGAAGACCAACCAGTGCCAATGGCTTTAGAGAAAACTGAACCAACGCGAAACGAATCAGACCAGATGGTATTATTTTATTAATGTCTTGTTGGTGTTTGTTTAATTGTCTTGTTTATATATTATATTTCATTTCAATTTCGAATTTCGAATTTCAGATCCATTTTTGTATTTTAGTTGGTGAGTGTCTAATAATTGGTCTTGTAGGATGAAGTTGAGATGGAGGATATGATGGAAGAGCCTGTTTTGGACATTGACATCTCTGATGCAAATGACCCTCTTGCAGTTGCTGAATATGTTGATGATCTTTATGCTTACTACAGAAAAGTTGAGGTACATTTTGAATCAATGGTTTGGAAGGAACACTTCATCCTTTGGTTTTTTGTTTTTATTTTTTAAATTTCAAATGGGATATAATCTTTGCAGACACTTCTGATTAAAGTTGTATTCAGTGCCCACCACCAACACATGTAAACACATCTAATTTTTTTCTCAAATGATTATGTTCAGCTAATTTATTTTCATAAATTATTTTCCATGTCGACTTGTCAGTCGCACTATCTGGTTTTGCATGTGTCTATGCTTCATAAGATATAGAACTTGTTGAATCCTGGTTTTGTACGTGTCCATGCTTCATAAGATATAGAACTTTGTTCAATCCTGGTTTTTGTATGTGTCCATGCTTCATAGGATATATAACTGGTTGAATCCTGGTTTTGTATGTGTCCGTGCTTCATAGGATATAGTACTTGTTGAATCTTGGTTTGTCAATGGAGACATTTATTGTAATTTCTCTTACTGTATTGATTGAATTGGCATAAGAATACTCCTGAATTTTCTCACTAAATTGGCAATGTTTTCCAATCAAATTTGAATTACTAAACAACATTAACTACTTGCAGAGTACTGGCTGTGCCTCACCAAATTATATGGCTGAGCAATTTGACATTAATGAAAGAATGAGGGCCATACTGATTGATTGGCTTATTGAGGTATAGACTCAATGACCCTTGATCACGGTCTTAAAAATACTACATTGCCTCATGGATCAAATTTAGGGTCAGAACAAATTTAATAAGTGTCATTAGTTTCCAATCAATTTCAATTCCCCCAAATAATGATAATGCTCATTTGTTTTGCTGGAACCCTTTTCAGGTGCACGACAAATTTGACCTGGTGCACGAGACATTGTTTCTCACAGTTAATCTTATAGACAGATTTTTGGAAAAGCAGTCCATGGTAAGAAAGAAGCTTCAGTTAGTTGGTCTAGTGGCAATGCTTTTGGCATGCAAGTATGAGGAAGTTTCAGTGCCTGTGGTTGGAGATCTAATTCTTATATCAGACCGAGCATACAGTCGGAAAGAAGTTCTTGAAATGGTAACATTCCTTTGCATGCTTATTATCAATTTATGGAGCCACTCAAAATGAGAAACCAAGGTTTTAAATTGCGTCCTATCACGGTTTTGGCAGACACAAAGAAAACCTTTAATAACATTGCGGAGCTACTGCAAATTTTAAAATTGTAGATGAGTTGTTGTCTCTGCCTAGATTGTAGAGACTTAAATAACACTAATCTTATATTGCAGTTACAAACCTATATTTCAAATCCCGATGTCAAGTAATTGAGATTTCTATTAAAAAAATTCCAGGAGAAGTTGATGGTCAACACATTGAAGTTTAACATATCTGTGCCAACTGCATACGTTTTCATTAGAAGGTTCCTAAAGGCAGCTCAAGCAGACAGAAAAGTTAGTGCTCATATTTCTGCATACTATTTTTTTCTTCTTCATGCAAGCCATCCTTTAATCATAATTAGCAATGTCATCATAATTACTAATTTTTTTTTCTTCTATATCTCTCACCCTGTAACAGCTTGAGCTGCTAGCTTTCTTTTTGGTAGAGCTATCTCTAGTAGAATATGCAATGTTGAAGTTCCCTCCTTCTCAGCTAGCTGCAGCTGCTGTCTATACCGCTCAGTGTGCTACCTATGGTTTCAAACAGTGGAGTAAGACATGTGAATGGCACACCAACTACTCAGAAGATCAACTATTGTAAGCATTTTAAGTTCTGCATTTTCATGTTTAAATTAAGACGTCTTGTGAAGAAGAAAAAAAACATTACAGCATATCCCACACGTAAGCATATTCTGATTTTGTTGAGATATATGACAATGTCAGACACCATTGTGAGATATGATTAGAGGTTATGCTAAATAAATACTAAATGGAGTAGTAACTACTACCGAGACTTGGGAAATATGATTTGAAGTGCCTGTAAAAAAATTTACACAATTCGTGCCATAATCTTTTTTTATATTATTTTAAAATTTATTCTAAATTAAACTAAATACTGTCTCTGCTACTTTGTTTGTGACTCACAGAGAGTGCTCCAGTTTAATGGTTGATTTTCACAAGAAGGCTGGGACAGGGAAACTTACAGGGGCACATCGGAAGTATTGCACATCAAAATTCATCTTTACTGCAAAACGTGAACCAGCAAGTTTTCTTCTAGAGAACTAGTTGTAGCAGGCAACTATATAGCTTAGCT